CTTGTCAGTGAGTACCGTGGTGCAGTACCGTAGTAGCATCTGTAGTGACTGCTGAAGGTGCGAGTTGACAGGACTCGCTGTTTCAGACGAGACGCATGTGATACTGTTTACATCCATTAATGCTGTAGTGCTCCTGCTTCACTCAGATACCTCTATGAAGGTGCCTCGTTGTTGGGTGAAGTGTTTTGTCCATAGGAAGAGATAAAATTATAGGAGGAGTAAATGGAGCGGAGAATGTGAGCAGGTCACGGGAGGCTTTCAGAAATGAGGCTTTGTGTGTGTGTGTTTGCTGTGCTTCATCTCTGGGTTTCTGCAAAGATTCACTCACCAAAATAAACTCTAATGCATCTCTTTTTGTGCTCGCCACTCCTGAAGTGACAGACCTTTCATTTCTTATTGACGAGACTCGCTGTGTGCTGTTTCCTTCTTTAGTTTGCCAGGAAATTAGTGGGGATGTAAAGCGGTGTTATTTTAGTATCATTTATATAATATTATAGTTTTTATTAATATATTGATTATATAATAATAGTTTTTATTTTTATATTTTGCATTTTCATTTTAATCTGAAGGTTTTGGTAAATTTGTGTGTTTTTGTCATTTTTTTTAGTTTGTAGTTTTTTAATGTCTATAAATTTTTATTAATGTTTTGAATTAGTTTTTATTTTACTTTTTCATTAAAATTAAGTTAAAGTTTGGTCATTTTTGTGTTTTTGTAATTTTGTTTATTTGTTTTTTTTTAAACGTCTATAGTTTTTATTAATATTTTGAATTAGTATATAATTTTAAATTGTGTGGTTTAATTTTAATTTAAGTTAAGGCTTTGGTAAATTTGTGTTTTTGTCATTTTTAGGTTTTTTCGTTCTTAAGTTTTGGTAATTTTTATTTTATTTTTTTCAATTTTATTTGTATAGTATATATAGTTATTCATATTTTTAATTAATTCAATTTTTTGCATTTTTTTTGTTTAATTAAATATTTAATATGTAATATTTTTAATGAAAATTTTTAATGTAATCTTTTGGTGTGTGTTTCCCCCCCAATTTTATTAGTTTTTTTTTATGTATATGTAGTTATTTAATAAATAATTTGAAATGGTTTTCATTTTTATATTTTGTGTTTTCATTTTAATTTAAATTTAATATTTAAATTGATATTTTTTGTGTGTTTTTGTCATTTAATGTTTTTTTTTACATCTGTATAGTTTTTTATTAATTTTATTTCAGTTTTTGTAATTTTCATATTTAAAGTTAAAATGAAAATTGGATTGAATAAAAATGAAAAATAAATTAAAATAAATAAGTATATTAAATAAATAATATTTCAGCTCCTGGCCAAGTTGCAAAGGTCCCCCCCCCCCCCCCTTTTTTTTCTTTTTTTTTTTTTTTTTTTTTTTCCAGTTTTTTTATGGTTTTAGTTTTAGTTAATAATAATAATATTATTATTATTATTATTATTATTATATCACTAGTACTATATTGTCCTTGAAAATACCTCAAAAGGTCACGCAATGACCTTTTTGCCACTAGTTTAGCATATTGCTTTGAATTCAAAGCTCATTATTGTCAAACAGCACTAACAGCACACCTGGTTATGCTCATGGTTAGTGCTCAAGAGGTCAAGTTTGGATGCTCCTTGTAACCATGACAACAGTCTGTGCGTCTATAAGTGCTGACTAAGATGCTTTTGTGCATCTCTCTGCGTGCTGTTGTGCTGAAACTCAGAAACTCAGACAGAGGCCCATTAATCACATGCCGTCTCCTCTGACTCAATTAAAACGACAGGCTATTTCCTCTTATTGCACCAGCATTTCATGCCCACACATCTGCATCTGCACCGAAACACACGGCCGCAGGTGTAGCATCTGCTTTTGAGGCCTATTATTGCTGTAAAAGAGGCTTTGTGTTCTTTTACACATGGCAAATAATTACCAGCTTTCTCTGAATAAATGCATGCACTTTTTGCGATCATTAGCTCATGAGCGTCGTTCAGATGCATTAGCAGGATGTTTCTGTTTGTGTTCACATTACAATGGATGATAGTTTGATTCTCAAGTTGTCAGAAAAGTGCTAATTAATGAAGTCATTTCACTGCTCATACTATTTCTGCAGTATGAATACTGTATACAGTATGTAAATGTGGTTTGCATGGAATATTGTTTGCAAAAATGTGCAATATACAACAGCAAAGAGCACTTTGTATATTATACTGCATGATGCAAATCGCTCAACTTGACCTTCCATTTTAGGTTCAAATTAATATATTTTTAACATTTGATCAGGGTCCTAATTCAGTTTGATCAAATTTAAGGTCATAAAAAGGTTTAAATATCTTGAAATGGTATAAGAAATGTCTTAATTATCATTTTAAGAGGTCTTACATTTTGGGACGGAAAAACAGAAATCGTGATACAGCCTGATTTGATTATTAAACTTCAAAAGGCAATGTTTAAACTACATAAATATGAGCTCTGCTTGCTTATGGTCCACTTTTGAAGAATTATGACAGTGTTTATTCATGGTTTTTATGTTGTAATATGTTATAGATGGTTGAAAGAGTGCATATTTTTCCCTCATCTTTTTAAATGAGCAGCTGGAAGAAGCAAAGTGTAGGCATTTCAAAATAAGAGTCCCATAGTATTTGAGGCTTGTTTATAATTGAAAGCCCCACATTATTCTGGATATTATTTGTATTTTGGTTACACAACAAATGGTATCTGGCATTTAAATCTGCATTTATGCTTTTTTAATGCACATTATTGTCATATCAGCAAAATCCAATATTGAACGATCCTGTTATTCATATGTATTGATATATTAGTACATAAACATAAAATGTCAATGTGAACAGAACAAAACACATGTTTTGCAGTTGAATGTGTGCCTGTTTAATTACGTAAAATAATGATACATAATTTATTTTGAGATCGCATGGGTTTGTCCTGTATGGACATGTTTTTGCTTTAAATGTTAACTAAAATAAAATAAAATATTAAACAAAAAAAAACTAAAATTTATTTTATTGCAGCAACATTTATCATTTTCATTTAGTTTAACTTTTTTTTTAAACTTGAAGTACTAAAATAACTAAAAAATAAACTAAAATAAAAATGAACAAACACACACACACACACACACACACACACA